GCCAAGTTGCTCAGGTGGGTCTCGAACCCGTGGGCTCAGGCAATCCACTCACCTCAGCCTCCCAAAGGCGCGGGATTACAGGCTGAGCCACCGAGCCCAGCTTCAAGGTGGTTTTATGCTGCTGCATGCCAAGTCTGGACCCCTGCTCATTCCACACCCCTCTCTCCTGCCACATTTCTTCGTTCTGCGGTCCCCTCTAGCCACAAGCGATGATCTCCATCACCTCCTGGCCACTCTAGGCTCCACGCCCGCAATGCTCTGTGTTTCCTCCACCCTACGTTCACAGGTACTTTGTTTAGGCCCATGTCATTTTCCCAGCCCCGGTGTTTTCTCAGTTGAGACACAAACTCAGCTCCCCTACAGTTGTACTGCTCCTGGACTGACAGACCGCTCCCAGATTGGACAACAGCCACTCTCTCCCAGGAACCACCAGAATGACTCTACAGACAGTCGAAGCATTATCCCTCCCCACTTCTTCCTAAAGGCTGGATCAGTCCCTGCCATCCTTGGCCTGTTCAAACCCTCCTTCTGTGTGGGGACAGCCTTCTTTTCACAAGTTCCCCCAGGGTCTCAGAACGCAGGTAACCTGTGACCCCTTGTTTAGAAACCACGTCATTCTTCCATCCCCACCCACAGCTTTTTCCAATAAAGGAGAGGCCCGCCAGCCGAGCCGAGCCCTTCCCCCAGCTCTCAGCAATACGGCAACAGCCTCACATTGGAGCTACACTTTGTGTCATTCCATGTGCAAAACGCCCAGGTCACGTGCCTGGAGCTGAGCTCAGTGTTCTGCGCACCATGGCCAGGCAGGAACCAGAGGGCACTCTCTCCAGGAGCCACTGGAGCGCAGAGGGGCAGGGTCCTGGCTAAAACTTGTCGGAGGAGAGTCAACCAAGGATGAGGAAGGGTGGGAAGATCAAGCTCCATCGCGGCTGCCACAAAGTGCGAACAACTGAATCTACCTGCAGGAAGTGTGGCCTTTCTTTCCTGGAGGCACCCCCACTTCCGGAACTTGGACAGTCCTACTTCCCGTGAGAAGCCAGTCTGGCCCTGGCATCCCTCCCCACATGAGGCCAGTCTTTCCTGTTGCCTCCTCTTTCCTCTGCAAAGCTTGCTCCCACCTGGCCACTTCAGTGAGTGTTTAGGTCTCCTGGCTGGATTAGGGGCCAAGGGGCTGCCAGTTCCCACAAGTGCTTCAGGCCTGAAAAAGCAGAGCTGTACTCCCTGTGCTAAGGTTCTAAGGTGTGGGGCGGGCAGGAGGTGTTCACGGGACTCTGCAGCACCTTATTTGTACAGCTCTGTACCCCAAAGGACAGCGGTCGCTTCACCAAAAAAGAGCAGGTCCTAGGTGAGCGATCATGGCGACATGCTGAAGAGCTGCTGAAGAGCTGCTGAAGAGAACTGCAACTTGAACAAGTACTCAGACGGAACTGGAGACAACACATTCAGAGAGGATGCAGGCCCCTGGACTTCCTAGCTCGGCACGTGTGCACACACACACACTCACAGTTATTTTCCTCTCCAATGGCCCAAATGTCCACAACCATGCCTCCAGCATGCACACCTGTCATGGTCAGCCCAGGCAGCCCACACCTGCTCCTCTCCCTCTCCTTTCCAAGGCAGGCAGATGGGGCTCAGGGCCATCTTTAGCTCAAATTCCTCCCCTAAAGTCCCCTATAGCTTGATTTTTTTTTTTTTTAAAGTCAAGGTCTTGTTCTGTTGTCCAGGCTGGCTGGAGTGCAGTGGCACGACCATGGCTCACTGCAGCCTCAAACTCCTGGGCTTTAAGTGATCTTTCCATCTCGGTCTCCTGAGTAGCTGGGACTACAGGCATGCGCCATCACGCCTGGCTAGTTTTTTGTAGGGATGAAGTCTTGCTATGTTGCCTAGGTTGGTCTTGAACTCCTGGTCTCAAGCAGTCCTCCCACCTTGTCCTCCCAAAGTGCTAGGATTACAGGCATGAGTCACCCTGCCCAGCCTACATCTTGACTTTCAAAGGACAGAGGATGTTTTTGCAAATCCCAAAGCATTCCCAATATCTTGGGCTATCCTGGCACCTGGCTCCTTTCCATCATTCTAGAGTTCTAAACCTTAGAATCACCCCTTTAATGGTAGCCAAGATTAAAAAAAAAAAGACCCCAGTTAGCTGGACTACCCTTTCTTTCAAACCCAGTCCAGGTATCCAAGTATCCAGAGGACTGTGCTTAAGCTCTCTATGCCAGCTCTGGGTCAGGGAGAGGACAGGACCTTTGCCTGAAGGGCCCTCATAACATCCCTACCCAAAAAGTGACAGGACAGCAGGACCCACACTCTTAGACTCACTATGTGATGGTCAAGGGTTCCTTTTCCTGTCTTTAGGCAACCAGATGCCCAGAATTCCCAACACCACAAAGCTACAATCACGTGCAACTCTTCCAAAGCCGTGCTGTGTTACTAGGGAGGGGGTAAGTTGTGCACTAAAAATAGAAATGGGACCCAGGTGTTATATATAAAAAAATAAACATTTTAAGACATATAAAAAGGGGGAAGGGAGAGGAAAAGAGACCTTGAGGTTCTTAAAGAGCAGTACCCTCTCTAACTGGTTCAGGGCTTTGGTCTGCTCCCCACTACTTAGCTCCAGTTTGTTGAGGAGACATGGAGAAATCTGTGAAAGACAGGCAAATGCACGGTTTAAACAAAGTGAAACACACCCAGACACACGCCAACAGGGCACAGGGCAGGAATGGGGATGGATGGCAGGGGAAGGAGAAGGTCAGGTGCATGCACCAACCAGCCAAGGGTCAGCTCTGTGGGTAGAGCCGCCAAGGGCTGAAAACACTATCCTCGCCAGAGGCCTATGAAGTCCAGGGCTTCAGCTCAAGACAGAAAGAGGCCATTCTTGTAACCACCAGTCTCCTAGCAGCTTATGAACTCTTTGGTCTGGAGTCAGGTTTGATTAATCTCTCCAGCAGAGACCAGTATGAGTCCGGTTTCATCCAGCCTCAGTGCAGGACTTGGGGCATAGTCTCTCTGGGTCTCCTACCAGTTGACAAGGCTGAGTCCTGAAGGGATGGCAGGACTTTCTTTCTTCTTTGTCAACATGCATTTTTAGCCCAGACTGATGGTCGCCACTCAGTATCCATGAAGAACTGGCTCACCAGCTTTTAAAAACTTTTTGGCAGAGACCAGGTCTCACTGTGTTGCCTGGGCTGGTCTTGAACTCCTGGCCTCAAGCAATCCTCCCACCTTAGCCTCCCAAAGCACTGGGATTACAGGTGTGAGCCACTGCTATCAGCCTTCACCAGATTATGTGGTGGGTCAACAAACATAGGCCAGAAAGGAAACGCTGGGGAAGGAGCCATATCTAGGAGAGAAGGAATGTCTCACTGAAGGAGTGAGAGCTAGTTCTAGATTCCAGGCAGGCTTATCTAGGCAAAAGCATGTCTTTGCTAAGCAAGGTTATCCCACAGTACTGAAGTTGGGAGACTAAGGTCTCAAAGAGGAACAACAGACTCCTGGGCAGCTGAGGGAAGGGGGGGTGGGGTCAAGGGTTACAAAACCATCCACTGGGTCCCATGCCCACTACTGAGTGGGGTGGGGGGGTCTCACCAGCAGCCCAAACCTGCCTTCACGCAATGTAATTGTGTGATAACCCCTTACAATTCTAAAACAAGAGAAGAAAAGGCTTGGATTGCGCGACAGCAGGTCAGGTTTCAGATCATACCTTCTTCATGTTGGTCCCCACGTAGTTCTTGGGTTCTTCTTTAAACTGAGGTAATCTGTAAGACAGAAAATCCACAGACTGTCATGAGGAAGAGACAGATGTCCCCCTCCATGCAAACCACAGACCAAAGGTGCTTTGGGCCAGAGCATGCCTTGCCTCTTAGGAAAAGCTAGGAAGAAAAGCAGACCGATTTCACCCCTTTCAGAGCTTCAAGGAGCCACAGGCATCAAGGGATATGTGACAGGGACAAAGAAGGAGGGTAGTCATGAAGGTAAGGCGACAGCATGCCCCTGGAGTGTGGAGGCTCCTTTCATCCTTAAATGAACTCCTTCCTGCTTGTGTTTGTTTAGCAAGTGCAGCTGAAAGCCAAGAGGGGGAGGGGCGTCTACCAAAGCCCTAGGAGTCTGGGCACAGGACGAGAAGTAAAAAGCAGGTCTGTGTTTTGAAACCCCAAAATTTGAGCCTGAAGAGTAAGAAACTCTCTGCTGCAGGCTCCAAGGGCAGCCTAGTCTGCAGATAATAAGGATCATTACCTGTAGATCTGAGAGCAGAAAGAAGTCCTGAGAGGAGGGGGGCTTAAGGCCACTGCCTCAGCCCTTCTCTAGGTGAGACTGTTGAAAGGAGTGGGAGGAAGCAGACAGTCCGGCCTAGGATAAAAGGCCTTCCAGGCCCTAGGCTGAGAGCCTTGCCTAATGTAGGGTAACCAAACATCTTGGTTTGCCTGGACGGAGAGGATGAGGATTCCAGGATGCTGGCATTGGGACCGTCCCAGGCAAACCACAACTGCTGGTCACCCTAGCCTTGAGCCTCTCCCACAGACACTAGCCAGAGCTCTGGGAGCTGAGCAGTCTGTTTTAGGCTCCTTGAGTTTGGTTTCCTCTCTGGGCTCCCTTTCCCAGCTGCTCCCCACAGAAACAGACACAAATTGGGGAAGCAGAACGAGGCCTGCCAGCCAGGATTAAACAGCCCTCTGCCTCTCCCTGAGGCCCAGTCAGCTCCCCTGCTCGGTAACCCTGGGCCCAAAGAACTACCCCCTCCGTACTCCCAGCGGCCTCCGATGTGGCTGTGGGGCTGGCCAGGTCCCTGACGTGGCTGAGTGGAAGCAGGCAGGCTCGAGAGGCCTGGGCAGCCGGGCTGAAGCAAACAGCAGCAGGTTTACCTTGTGAAGAGCAGCTGCACCATGTCTACGAGAGTATGCTCTGCGGATTTTCTCAATAACTCTGCACAGGCAAAAACAAATAACACAGGTGTCACTACTTGCCATACTATTATCAAGAGGCTTCTCACAGCAGACTCCCCTCCAAACCTTGTTTACCAAGGATTATGCCAAACTTATTAAAACCAGCTCCAGCTCAGCCTGGCAGCCATAACTTCACTGGCCCATTGGGTGGCACTACTGAGTCGCGGAAAAGCGGGCACGACACAGTCTGTGTTCTGGGGCTTGCAGGCTGGTGTCAATCCCAGAAACCCCAAGGGGAGAGGTGGTGGCTGGGCTGAGTCAGTCTGGGATCCATCCCTGCCCTGGCATCACGGGCTGAGGTCTCTATTCCAGCTTCACAAGAAACAGTCAAGTACAGAGAGTTCTTCTAGACCTCTCTGGCTCCACGAGAGATGATGAAAAGTCCTGTGCTTTCCATCTCTCGGGGGTTCAGAGACAGCACCCTTTGTTCACACTCAGACACCGGCCCTAGGCCGATACGCAAGCACTTACCACTGAGCCTCATTTCAAAGCAGATCCGGAAGCAAGACTGCATGATCTCACACACAGATTCATTGGTTAGGTGGGCACCCACTGGGGTCAGCAGCAGAGTCCGCAGAACCTACCAGGAGGAAAGAGGGTCACTGTGACAGGCTGGCGAGCTGGCAGGCTGGGTGAAGAGAGGCTCGCCTGCGTGAGAAAAGTTGCCTGGCATTCCTCTATCTCCCAGAAGAACAGTTAGTGAGAATGTGGACCTCACTTCAGCCTGGCAGGGAGTCCCCCAGGAGCTCGTGCTGGGAAGTGTTTCTTTACTCCATACGACCTGGCATAGTTCAGAACTCACTCCAGCCCTAGCCCCAAGTCCAACAGATGGATGGTGTAGAAACAGTCTGCCAGAGAGACGAGTGTATTAAGGGCTTCCCGGGTTTGACAGCAACTCATTTAAAGCTTTTAATTATTTTCCTTAAAAAAAGCTTTTTCTTTGGGCATCGAAGCTGCTTGTTTGAAAACAAAGTAGCTCCCTAAGCCCCAGTGGAGTCAAAACACAGCTTCATGCTGCCGGCAGGCTTGGGTAAGCACAGGCAGGCTTGGGTAAGCGCAGCCAGTGGCACCAGCCCTTGGTCATTAGCCTAATCACGCTTGTTTCCTGCTTACCTGAAGGATTTTCATCAGGACCACCTCATCACTGGCAGGGTCCGTGCCTACAAAACGGGCGTGGGTGACAGCATCTGCCATGTTCTCCATGCCCTCTGCTGTGCCCTCCTGCATGGGATCTGCTCCAGTGAGAAGGAAAAGATCAGATGATGTGGAGAGGAGAGAGAGGAAAGGGAAGACAGCCCATCTGGAGCCACGCAGAGATCTGGCTTCCTCCTCTCAGGGTCCCAGCCCCTGGTTCCTTGAGCTGCCGGAGACTTTTGCCCATAGCTGGCTTTAATGAGCTTCAACACAAGCTCTGCTGGGTAAACTAGTGGTCCCAAACTCAAGCCTGTTTCAGAGTCACCTGGAGTGCTTGCCAAAGATACACATTGCTGAGCCCACACCCAGGTCTTTTGATATAGCAGCTCTAGAGTGGGGCCTGAGAATTTGTACTTTTTTTCTTTTTTGAGTTGGGGGGTCTCACTGTCACCTCGGCTAGAATGCAGTGACACAATCCTGAGTCACTGAAGCCTTGACTTCCTGGGCTCAGGTAATCCTTCTGCCTCAGTCTCCCAAGTAGCTGGGACTACGGGGTATGCACCACCATGCCCAGCTAACTTTAATTTTTTGTAGAGATGAGGTCTCCCTATGTTACCTAGGCTGGTCTTGAACTCCTGGGCTCAAGCGATCCTCCAGCCTTGGTCTCCCAAAGTGCTGGGATTATAGGTGTGAGTCACTGCGCTCGGCCAAGAATTTGTATTTGTAACAAGAGCCCAGGTGAAGTTAACACTGCGGAGCAGGGCACCATACTCAGGGAACTGCTGCCGTCAATCTAGTCATTTCAGAAAAGAAAAGCTTAACAAAAGGAGTTTTTGGTCCAGAGCAAAAGCCTGGTAGGGTCAAAGCTTTGAATGCCAAGGTGGCAGCCTTCCTCCTTTCATCTCGCAACACAGCTTCTCTCTCTGATTGCTTCTGAAGTTCTGTGTTCAGGTGCAACTGAGGCAGGGAAGCCAGAGAGGCAATGGACAGCCACTGCCGCCAATGTTTATATCCGGTGCCACATGCCAGCAGATCAGAGACCTCTTTCATTCCATTCTTATTTAAAACAATATGACAGTGAGCAAGAATTCTGTTTTCGGCTTAACTAAACAGGCATTAAGATGGAAAAGAGACACACTAGACAGGACTGGAGGCTGGCTAGCTGGGGAGTGGGAGCGGGAGGGTTCCAGCTGTGAAGAGGAGGGAAGAAGCCAGAGGTCAGCCGTCCAGCACACAAATGCCATCGAGGGGATCTCCACTCCATTCCTGGGTGGCACAGGCACAGGAGTAGCCAGAGAGGCTGCCACCATCAGCTGAGGCCTGCAAGGGTCCTGCAGAACTGCTTGGCTCCCGCCCAGGCTGCTCTGAGGGACCTCTCCACTGCCGGTCAGGTTCGAGAGGTGAGCATAAGCAGGTGCGAGGGTGGGAGCGCCACCTGGGTTTATGTGGTGGGAGTTTGAGGCCATTTTTTGCCGTTTTCTCTTTCTTAGCATCTGAAATGATGGAGCTCCCACCAAGAGCTCAGGAGATGGCCGAGAAACCTGAGCTCTTTTCCTGCATGAAGAGCCAGAAGACTTGCACCAACTGTGAGTGTTTTCATCTGTGGCCTTCTTTTTCTGCTGTCCCTGTCGGCCTAATATCTCATCCAAGACTCTGTCCACTTACGGCATCCTTCTGCCCAGCCCCAGGCGTGGTTTTTCTCGAGGTTGTGGGATGTGGCATAACAGGGTGACCCAGCTCCTCCTCCTGCCACCCCAACTCTTCACATCTCCCAGTCAGCACAGGGAATGCCCCCCAGGCCTTGGCCTGCATCTTCTCACAGCCCTGCCAACAGTCCTCATCCAGGCCAGCAGGACCCACACAGAGCCCAGGTTCTTCCCAGTGCTGTGGGGCGTTCTGGAGCTCAGCGAACAGTGCCTCGTTCCCATCTCACGAGGCTCCTAGGGTCCATTTCTTCCCCTCTTTCAGGAACCTCTCTTGTTACAGTATTTATTTTATTTGCTATTTTTATTAATACAAATCTGTCAGCCTCCCAAGCCAGAACAGGTTCAGAGAAATTCCCATGAAGGTGGTTTAAGCTCCACTGATCTCTTTGTAGTTCTCATCCCCTGAGCTTGAATGAAGTAGCAAAGTCACTTTCCTAAAAGGCACGTAAGAGTGACAGGTCTTCAGAGCCACAGGCCCAGCTTGCCAGCGAGCTGTGAAACCAACGGCACAAAAATCCTGGTCTGGCAGCTGTCTAGGGCCAAATGAAAGGCCAGTCCTTGGACAGGACCTCAAATGATCCCTGAAGCCTTGGGTCCCAGGCCTGAGAGGTGGGGGTGTGGTTTCTCCTAGAGGAGCAGCCTCAGCCAATGACTGCCTGGCTTGGGCTCACCGAGAAGGTTTCCTCTCCCCAAAGACTCCTTCTGTGGTATTCCTCCCTTCCTGGCCACTCTGGACAACTTCGGGAAAACCTGTCAAGCCCGTCTCCTTTGGTTTTTGCTCCCAGACAGCCCTTCCCGCTCCTTTCTCGTGTCCACTGCACTCACCACCTCCACATTCTCCCTTCCCACCACAGGAAGCCTGAGCAACCAGCTGGCCTGAGGTCGCCAATGACTAGCCTCCCTGCCAAGTCCAGGAAGGGGAGACAGCAACTCCAATAAGAGAGCAGAGGATGAAGGCCCGGGGGCATCTACCCGAGCTGTGAAGAGAGGCGCCCTGCAGGTGGTGCACAGGGCACAGCTTGAAGGGGCCGAGCCCGACTTTGGGGAACTTTACGAAGCTACTAGGGTGTCTGGAGAAGCTGACGCCTCTGTCTAGAAGTTGGCAGGCACCTAGGACTCCTACTTGGGATCCTGAATGCTTTAGCCTAGCAAATCTAGCATTTCTAGAAAAGACAGAGAGTTTTCTTGACCCAAACTGAAGATCACTTTCTTTTCTGGCTAGTGACAGTTGAGGCTCATCTTTTCTTGTCTCCCTGCTTAGAAACACAGACACCTGCCTGCTTGCCATGTTCCTCATCCTTGCACACAGGTTGGCAACTGGGAGGAGGAACTCAAGACCCTGAGCCACAAGTCCAGCTACAAAAAGACTCCAGAAAGACAGCACAGGCCGATTCAGAGATAAACTAGAGACTGGGTGAGATTTTGGCCTAGACTGGGAGTAAATATTTCTCATACTATGACAGACAATGGGTCAAAATTCCTATTATACAAAAAAAGCACTCCTAAAAATTGATATGAAATACAAAAACAACTCAATACAAAAATTCAAATGTTCAACCTCCAGGAAATAAAAACCACAAAATAATCAGTTTTACCTACCAAATTAGCATAAAGAAAAACTGATGCTACACAATGCTGAAAACAGGTGGGAAAATGGAAATTCTCAAACATTGCTGGTAGAAATGTAAATACTATAATCTTTGGGAAAACAACTTGGTAGTAAATATAAAAATGTAACATGGCCTTTAATTCAGAAATTCCAAGTTCAGAAATCTCTCATACAAAAGTAAAATTAGTTGGGTGTGGTGGCTCACACCTGCAATCCCAGCACTTTGGGAAATAGAGGTAAGAGGACTGCCTAAGCCCAGGGGTTTGAGACAGCCTAGGCAACTTAGCGAGACTTTATCTCCACAATAAATTTAAAAATTAGCTGGGTGTGGGGGTGCACATCTGTAGTTCCAGCTACTTGGAAGGTGGAGGCAGGAGGATTGCCTGAGCCCAGCAGGTCGAGGCTATGGTGGCTGTGAGTGTGCCACTGCACTCCAGCCTGGGCAACAGACTCAAAACTAAAAACAAAATTAGTACATAAGGACATATGAGCAAGGATGATTATTTTAGCACTATTTATAAAAAATGACCCCATATAAGAAACAATCTAAATGTTAAATGTTAATAACAGGATGATCAAATGAATTGTGTTATATCTATACTACACTATGGAAATTATACAGCTACTAGAAAGAAAAAGTCTTACGTGGGGCTGAAGGGAGAGGGAAATGGGGAGTTATTGATTAATGGTTAGAATTTCTGTTTGGGGTAATAAGAATAATAAGTTTGGGAAACAGACAGTGGTGATGGTTGCACATTGTGAATATAGTTTGTTGCTTTTTTTTTGAGTTGGAGTCTTGCTCTGTTGCCCAGGCTGGAGTGCAATGGCACACTCATGGCCACCGCAGCCTTGACCTGCTGGGCTCAGGCAATCCTTCCATCTCAGCCTTCCAAATAGCTGGAGTTACAGGAATGCATCATCACACCTGGCTAATTTTTTGACTTATTGTAGAGTTGCCCAGGCTAGTCTCGAACCCATGGGCTCAGGCAATCCTCTCAACTCAGCCTCCCAAAGTGCTGAGATTATAGGCATGAGCCACTGTGCCTGGCCGTGAATATAGTTAGTGCCACTGAGTCATACACTTAAAAATCATTAAAATGGCAAAGTTATATATTTTACTATAATATAAAAACTAATCAGATAGATAATCAGATGTATACATTTAAGTTCATACTACTAAGTAGAAAAAGACAATATATGGCACATAATCCTATGTTTTTTTTTTAAGGGGTGGTAGTTTATTTATACTTGGATACGCACAGAAAAAGGTCTAGAAAGACTCAACCAAGCTGTTAACCTGTTTACCTAAGGAAGGGGAAGAAGCATTGAGAAAGACACAGGCGAGACAACAGTTTTTCTTTCAGACACCTCTTTACGGTCTTCTTATAATAAGCATGCATTCTATTTGGGAAAATAATTTAAGAACAAAGCAAACCAAGCCTCCAAGGTGAACAGTATCTACAGAAACCTAAAAGAAACTTAGCTTATTCTTTAGTCTTTTTGCCTCAGTGTAACCATTAGAAAGCAATCAGATTTTTGCCTCAGTGTAACCATTAGAAAGCATTCAGACATTCTACTGTAGGACAAGCAGCAGCCTATCCCATCCCCACTAGGCAAATCTCCTTCAGATGCAAGACCAGGACAACCCAACCATTCATGGGTCAGCATAATAATCTCTAGTAAACTTGATGCCTTGTCAAGGCCAAAGTCATAAAAGTAATAATATGACCACCCCACCTTTGGTCAAGGAATTTGTGAACTGCAAATGTCTAACAAGTCTCTTGCAGGAAACTTCCCCCACCCCAGAGGGTTAACCTAATCAGCCCTTTGTGACCCACCTTGGCAACAATCATGTGTCTAATCCACCCATCTGCCTGCTGTCCATCACCTGGCATCAATACCTGCGCTTGCCTGCCCCTTCGTGATGATGTGGAGCAGACCACCACGCAATCACCTTAATGATCCTCCCCCATCTAGGGGAATGGTTAAAAGGACTCAACCACAAGCAACCAGCGGCCATTGCCTTGCTAGACTCTGGTGTCCCCATGTGCTCTTTGAGCTATGGCTGTCACCATGCTTCCTGGCTTTGGCCCCCTCCTCTGCCTTGGGAGGTGAATCTTCTTTCTTCCTTCTCTTTCTCTAATTTACTTTTATTTATTTATTTATCTATTTATTTTCTAATTTACTTTTAATTAAACTTTTCTTTCTCAACCTTTTTGTGTGTCGCAATTCTTTGCATCTACTTGGATCTCTGAGTTCCCAGCGCACACCTCCAGTTTGCCGGCTCCAGTGGTGCTACGCCTCCCTGTGCCTCTCCACCCTCACCCTGTCCGTACCCTAACACAAGGCACCACCATACCCTTAACTCCCTCCAAGGCATAGTCAGAGAAACCAGAGTCCCAGGGAACACTTTGCCAGCCCTCCCCACCCCACACAACCTGTGCCAACTTGCACAACGAGCAGCCCGAATCAATCCTGTTTCTCTTCCACAAAAAAAGAGATGGCTGGGAAAAGTTTCCTGGTATCACGAGTTCATGGCCTAGGCCCAAGCACCCAGAAAAGGCGGGAAATGAAGTGCTGTAGTCATCCAACAAAGCCTGAGTCTTACCAATGAGTGCACAGGACAGGAACTTGTTGACAGACGTGAGTGCCAATCCAGTGATAGGGCCAGTAGTGTCTTCAGAGCGAATCACTTCCAGAAATGGACGAAGGAAAACATTGGGCTCGATCTCTGAGAGTTCTGCAAGAAATGAAGAAATATCATCTAGCACAAAGCTACCCTGGGAAAAGGCCTTCCTGTTTGGGCCATGGGGCTAGAGGTCTTTGTAGCTGGATCACTCTTCTTCCCTCTGGATTCCCTTGAGTCAAATCCTAGACACTATACCACTTACAAGCAAAATTTTCAGCATGTAGCTCTAAAAGATCAGGAAGGTCTTTTTTTAAAAAGCATGATATTATCATGCTTAAAAACTTAACAATAAAATGGCTAAAATGGTAAATTTTATGTTGTATATATCTTACCACAATTTTTAAAAATTAACTTTAAAAAAAAAAATGAGATAGCAGCCCAGGCTGAAACAAAGAGGTGTGATCTCACTGCAACTTGAATTCCTGGCCTAAGCGATTCTCCCGCCTTAGCCTCCTGAGTCACTGGGGCTAGAGATGCATGTCACTATGCCTGGCTAACTTTTATTTTCTAGAGACAGGGTGGCCAACAATAATTCTTTAATATTATCAAATATTGTGAGTCAACTTTTGCCCATTTCACCACCCTTCCCAGTGATCTACATAGGTAACCTCATCCTGGGTACAGTCTTAGCTCCCAGGGGTGGGCTCCTGCCTTTATGTCCTTTGCTGCTAAGGTCAAGGTCAATTCTCTTAGAGAAAGAGTGCAGCACATCCCAGAAGGGGGAGGAGAAACCCTGAGATTTATACAGTCTCTTCATATAAGCCTAACAAGAACCAGAGGCTGGGCAGTCTTGGCCGTGGAGGCAGCCTGTAATCTTGGAAAGTCCTTTCTACCTAGAGTAAACAGAGAGCTAGCTGCTCAGGGATGCAAGGGCCATACCTAATCTTCACTTTATAGATGAGAAAAATAAGACCTCTCTTAAGATACATGACTGGCCCCAAATCACACAACTAACAGGCAGAGCTGGGATTTGAACCCAGTCAATACGGTTCCAAAACTTGTAAAACCACTACATCCATGCTATATACATGTATCACCATCACATACTCTTGAATTTAGATTTCATGCCAGGTCAAAGAAACCATACTACACCAAACTTGCTCCCTACTCTACTCTGCCCAGGTTAAATTTGTTTTCTAGATTCTGCTGTGTGTTCTTCTTTCAGAGACCAGCTCCCTTAAAGGCTCCTACGTAGACCACACACATTTAAGGATGTGATCTAAGCTACCCCAAGTGAGAGACAAAGGGACACCGGGTTTCCTAAGCACCTTCATTTTCATGCAAATATAGGGAGCAGGCCACTCAATTCCTGCCACCCCCCCCCTCTAGGTAAACATTTCCTGGGCTGGGCTGCTCCTCAGATTAGTGCTTTTAATTAATGGGCAGGCTGGGTAGCATTTCCCAAGCTTGTCTATAACAGCGATCACGTCAGCTGTAAAAACCTGCTTCTCAGCCTCCACTGCCCCCACCTAGAGCCATATGTACAATTTGCAGGAAAAAACTTCTAGAAAAACATGTGTGGCGGCGGTGGTGGTGTGGTGGTGGAGGGTTAAGATGTAAGGAATATTTGGGAATACCGAAATATATAACACAATTCTTAGAAGCAAATTTAAAAACTTAATGACATTAGTCTTGCTATGTTTAGAAACACAAATGCATTCTGTACAATTTGGACTGTTATTTTTAAAATGGTGGTCGTGTTTGGTGTACGTAAGATGTAAAAAAAAATCAAGATTTAAAAAATTTTTAATTGAGAGTAGGTCAGGCAATAGGTATTCTGTGTTTTCATCTAGTTGTTATAACTTACTTGCTTCTTGTCTTCCTGGTGAAAGACTAGGGCAGTTTTACAGCTGGGGTCTAAGGCCATGTACAACCTGCCTCTTGTGTTTAACTGTTGATTTATTATAGTAAAACTAACTTTTTTACTGATTCAAACACCATGTAACCTTTCAAGGTTGGCTTCTTCCTCCAACACGATGCCCTTGAGATTCATCAAGCTATTGCTTACACTGACAGTTTATTCCTTTTGGCAGCCGAATCATATTCACTACACATGTATAGCAGCTTCTTTATCCAGTCACGAGATAGAGGACTTCTGGGTTATCCAGTTTGGGGCAATTATGAGTAAACCTGCTATAAATATTTGTGTACTGGTTTTTGTGTGAACACAGGTTTTTCTTTTTCTTTTTTTTTTTTTTTTTTTTGAGTCAGAGTGTCACTCTATTACCCAGGCTAGAGTGCATGCAGTGGCACAATCATAGCTCACCGCAGACTCAACCTGCTGGGCTCAGGCAATTCTTCTGCCTCAGCCTTCTAAGTAGCCAGAACTACAGGTGTGTGCCACCACGTCCAGCTAATTTTTAAATTTATTGTAGAGATGAGGTCTTGCCAAGTTGCCCAGGCTGGCCTCAAACCCCTGGGCTCAGGCAATTCTCTGACCACTGCCTCCCAAAATGCTGGGAATTACAGGTGAGAGCCACCACACTTTGCCGATAAAATCTAGTTTATTATTATTTGTTTTAAGGACTGTGTTTTGTTGTAATGTCTAAGCTGACTCTGCACAATCCCAGGTCACAAAGAGTTTTCCTATGTTTTCTTCTAAAAGGTTTATAGATTTGTTTTTTTACTTATGATCTATTTTGTGTTTAACTGTTGATTTATTATAGTAAAACTAACTTTTTTACTGATTCAAACACCATGTAACATTTCAAGGTTGGCTTCTTCTTTTGTATATATGTTTGTTTTTGTATATATGTTTGTTTTTACACACATACATTGTTTTTACTTTTGTATATATGTTTGTTTTTACACACATACATTAAGGACTCACTTTGTACAGGCACTTTTCTAAACACTTGGCATAACTGAATGAACATATGATTATGCTTAATTGAGGCTCCTTTTTTTCTCACTGAGAATATCTTATTGTTCCAACATGTCTCACTGAGTTGTCTTCGTACATTAGCATAAAATAAGTGGACCCTGCTTGTGTGAGTCTCTTTGGGGCCTGTTTTCTGTGGTTCCACTGACCTATTTGTCTAACTCTGACAACACTACATGTCGATATTACCGCGATACACTAAGTCTTAAAACCACTAATGTGATTCCTCCTACTTTGTTTCTCTTTCTCAATATCACTCAGCGTTCCATGTCCTTTGCCTTTCTGCTTTTTGTTTGAATTGGGGTTTCAGTCTTTTGCCCAGACTGGAGTATAACATCACGATCATGGCTCACTGCAGCCTCGACCTCCTAGGCTCAGGTGATCCTTCCACCTCAGCCTCCTAAGTAGCTGGAACTACAGGTGTGCACCACCATGCCTGGCTAATTTTTTTGATTTTTTTTTTTGAGAGTTGAGCTCTTGCTATGTTGCCCAGGCTGGTCTCGAACTCCTGGGTTCAAACAGTCCTCTTTCCTCAGCCTTCCAAACTGCTGGGATTACTGGTATGAGCCACCACATCTGGCCTCCATTTAACTGTAGAGAAACTTGTCTGTACTCACAACGATTTGGGGAGACAAGACATCTTTGCTATGTTGTGCCTATCAATCCATGAAGACAGAATGTCTCCCCATTTATTTAGATCTTCTTGGTTTCTTTCACCAGTGTATTGTAGTGCTTGTTTGTTTATTTGTTTTAGAGTTGGAGTCTCACTCTATCACCCAGGCTGAAGTGCAGTGGCATGATCACGGCTCACCACAGCCTCGACCTTAGGCAATTCCCGCCTCAGCCTCCAAGTAGCTGGGAAGACAGGCAAGCACCACAAAGCCTGCCTAATATTTTAGAAACAAAGCCTCAATCTGCTGCCCAAGCTGGTCTCAAACTCCTGGGCACAAGCAACCCTCCCACCCCAGCCTCTCAAAGTGCTGGGATTACAGGCGGGAGCCACTATGCCCAGCTACATTGTAGTTTTTTTTAGCATACAGGTTTTACATATGTTTTGTCAGATTTATACCTAAGTATTTAACTTTCTTTGAAATATGTGTAAAAAGTATAGTGTTTTAACAGATTGGGTTTTGTATTTGAATCAGCTTTGCATTCACTTAGTCTTGGCATATTATTCTTTTCCTATATTCTGGATTCGGTTTGCCAGTCTTCTGTCCCCCATGATGAAAGAGCGCAATACTGCACAGAGAGCCTTGGAAGAGGCAGGGCGAGGATGCACAGAGGCCTGGGCAAAGTCCCATGGAGAACCCTCTGGAGGCTCCGGCTGTGACCTTCCTACAGTACACAATTCAGTCCAGGGATGAGGGGTCAGTAGTCTCACTCACACTAATAACCAGACAGATGACTCCCAAGCTTTTCACTTGTCAAATGAGGTACCTGGAACCTACGCCTGCTAAAGTCCATTCATTCCGGCACTTTCATTTTATGAGTCAGCGGGTTTTCTGACAGAAAACTAAGAGGGCTGGACTTTCTGATGAGCCCACCAGGAACCCTTGCTGCCATTCTCAATCCCCCATCCCGCCAAAAAAAGGGAATCTTGCTCTATGAAGTTAACTTTCCCAAGAGAGTTCTGTCTAGGCAAAGCTGGAGTTTTGACTGCCAGGAGCCTCAGAGAGGCTTGAATAGGAGCAAGTCTGCAGCATGGAGGGTGAAGAGAAAGCTGTACCCCTAGCAGGGCATCACTCGTCAGGACATTTCTGATTTTAGGGGACACTTCTTTATAAACATCAATAAAAACCATTTGAATTCATAATCCTGGTGGGATGTTCAGATGGTCCTCCAGAACAGCTTCTCAAACTATTTGTGGTGAAGGGCAGATTTTTTTCTTCATGTCAATCCATTGCTGACTCACAGTTTTATAAAATACAACATGATGAATTACCAGAAAAATGAAATTTAAAAAATAATATAAACTCCAATCTTTTATTACTAGAATCAACATACATGAAATTACTGTCCATTGTTATGCAAATTCTAAATACTTTCTTTCAATTTCTCTATATGTCTTTGTGTACCAAGTAGCAGTTTGCAGATTGCACCAGATTGCAGATTATACTCTGAGTCACAGCACTCTAGAAAATAAGTCACAATTTTTAACTGACCATTCCAG